TTAGGATCAACATTCTGGCTTGTACTCCTGCAGAGTGAAAACTGATTTACACTTAATGGTGTCTGAACTTTACCCCTGTGTCCCCTCCCCTCTGCCTTGGTCATAACTCACATTCACCAACAAGATGCTATGGCAGGTTATGGACATGCGTATATGAGACCTGACTTTAGCCAAAAGTATGCATGGAATTCTCCTCCCTTCTCTATGCCACTTGATAGTAGTCCTGGCAACACTATACAAGTTGACATCTTAGTGTTTCAAATATCTCTTGGCAGGTTTGGTCCCACTGTAGAGGTTGTCCCCGGTGAGGTTTTGTTCCTGGGCTCCGTCTTTAGGAGGTATGTCAGGGTTTGGCAATCTTCTTGAAGGAGGAGATGAATTGCCTGTAGAAGTTTGCGAACCCTAGGAACCTTTGTAGCTGTCTGAGATTACGAAGGGGTTGCCAGCCTAGGATGGCTTGTACTTTGGCTGGGTCCATCTCTATTCCCTCATTTGCCACTTGGTAGCAGGTAGTCTATCTGTGCATGGTGGAATTCACATTTTGATAGCTTGACATACAGGTTGGCTGCCAGAAGTTTTTTCAGTAGCTCTTGGACCAGGGGTATGTGGTCTTTCATGGTCTCCATGTAGATGAGGATGTCACCCAGTTAGATGAGGATCCCCTTGTAGAGGTGTTTATGCGGCAACTCGTTTATTAACGGCATGAAAACTGCTGGAGCTCCCTGCAATCCAGAAGGCATCACTTTGAATTGGAAGCTCCATAGGGGGCAGTTAAACACTGTTTTCCACTCACCTCCTTCCCTGATCTGTACTTGGTAATATGCTTCTCTAGTCTGGTGAAGACTTTTCCCTTGGCCAGATGAGATAACATGTCCTTCATAAGGGCAAGCGGCATAGGTTGTGTACGCACACAGCATTGATTCCTCTAAAGTCTACACACAGTCTCTTAGTTCTAGTTTTTTTTCTTTGAAGAGGAGTGGTGTCGCAACTCATGGCTTGGCTGGCTCAATGAATCCTCATGCTATGTTTTTGTCTATGCATTTGTGCATTTCTTGCATTTCCTGGGGCGTCATGGCATACAGTTTGGGTTTGGGTAGTTTTGCTCGGGGGTTATTTCAATGGCTCAATCTGCCTCATGGGAGGGGGGCAGAATGTTGCACTTGGTCTCACTGAATACTTGTGCAAGGTCTTGGTATTCCCATGGGATCTGTTCAGTCTCTGGGGTTTCGTTGGATGGGGCTCTTTGATGGGGTGGGCCCTCTGCTTTAGGTTGCTGAGCTCATGTTCCTCATACAGGTCCTCCTCCACCTCCTCAAATCTGGCCTCTAACAGCCATAGCAGGTAATATATGCCTTGCAGTTGGCAGGCTCTCTTCTTGTGGAGGGATGTAGCCATTCCCTTGTTTATGAGAGAGAGAGAGACAGAGACAGAGATGAGAGAGAGAGAGACAGAGATGAGAGAGAGACAGAGAAAGAGACAGAAAGAGAGAGATGAGAGAGAGATGGTCAAAGAGAAAAGGGAGAGAGATGAGAGAGAAACAGAAAGAGAGAGCGACAGAGATGAGAGGGCGAAGAAAGAGATGAGAGACAGATACAGAGAGAGAGACAGAGAGAGAGACAGAAAGAGAGAAAGAAATGTGAGCAAGTGAGAGCAAGAGAGATGAGAGATCCTGGTGTTTTGTTTTCTGTGGGAAACAGGTCCAAATTGAGTGTTTAAGGTTGCAGAAACAGGCTGCCAAGCTAAGTGCCTGAAGGACCCTATCCTGTCACTGGAAGTCCAGGTGATGCAACTTTATAAGAGATTGGAAACTTGTCAAGACTGACTCGAACTTTAAACTATATTCTGCTTTGCTTGAAACTTGACAAAGGAAAGGATGGTGGTGAATTGGAATGCAAGAGTTTGGGAAAATGGCATCCATGTATCGTCGGTTCCCATGAGACATTGCTCCCCCCCCTCAAGGACACCCAGAGAAGTTGTCACAGCATGGCAGGCTGGTTCTCATACCAAAATGAACAGAAGTGATTGGTGGACGTAATGAACTGTTGGTGGCCCATGAGGAAGCCAGAGCTGGTTTCGCTTCTTCTGTGACAATATGGATTTATTCAGTAAATTTATGCTCTTAATAAAATAATATCCCAGGAGTTTCTTTTTCTGGATTCGCCAACTGGATAGTTGACATGAAACCAGCTCTGCAAGTAGCAGCCTACCTGAACCTCACCAGGAGATTGTCAGTCTCGAGATGTCAGCAACTGACAAAGGAATGAAAGGGGGGGAAAGCAAAGGGAAGCCTCCTCTTGAGAGACCTCAGTGGCAGCCCAAGACAACCCTGGGATGTAAGAGGCAGCACACACCCCAAACAGAGGGTTAGGTAGCCAGAGCAACGGCCTGTGCTAAAGGGGGAGACAGCGATGGAAGGACTCTATTTAGGCCCCAAGAGCTTGTGGGTGAGCCATATGGAGGTGGTGGAAGCAGAAGATCAATAGTGGGAGAATATGTGGAATAAAGTTTTAAAATGTACATTAAATTATAATTTAAAAGAAACTTTCTGTAAGATGATTTATCATCTTACAGAACTTATCCAGATAAGTTGTTAAGATAAGTGTCACGCCTGCAGTCATATTCCTTTCTAGATCTTTGACCTGTCACACTCTCTCTTATTTTACTATGCTGGTTCACTAGTGGGGAATTGGGAGGGGGGAATAGTAAAGAGTAGAATGTGTTGTTATCAAATAAAATTCATTTCTAGAGACGAAGGTCATCTTTTGTTCTCTACACCTCTGAGCCTGACTGGAACTGAATGGGTGGAACTGCCAGTGTGGCAGTGGAAGATTGGACCATGTGATGGACTTGTGGGTGTCGGGGCAAGATTATGAACTTTCAACTGGGTGGGGGAAACCAGGAAGCTTTCAGATTTGGGTTTTCACAGATGTGCCAACATGACTCTCTTAATAAATTGGAACTTTGAAGAATGCTTTGCCTTGGACTCTGATTTAATTTTGGATGTTATTTGGAATGCTGACATTAACCTGAGGGGCCAGCCCCTTCATCCCACTGTCTCTTTGGCTGCACCAAACAAGCACCAGCATGGGGCATCTGGATCACCTGCCTCCCTTGTGCTGGTGCCAGTGCCACTGCACAAGCCTCCCACGAGCCTCCCAAAAAGAGGGGAAAAGCAAAGCAGCTGGCCACAGATCTGCTGGCTTTGGGGAAGTGGTCCAACAAGCAGAAGTACCCCACTCAGAAAGGGCAAAAGGGGTATTTGTACTGCCCCAAGAGGCCAGTGGGCTGCAGAGGAGTCCCTTGTGAAAGGCTCTCCAGGTCCCTTCACTCGCTCACTTCCTGCCAGCTCCGGAGCTCACTATTAATGAATGCAACGACTGAAAGATGTTGGAGGGGGTGGGGGGAGGAAATGGGTGGGTGTCAAAAGTCCCTGCCCTTAGGGTCCTGCAGAGAGGGAGAGGAGGAAAATGAAGGGGAAGGAGTGTTGGTGAGAAAGGGGCTCTGCAGAACAAGTCCTGCTGTGTTTCAGATAAGACCCGAAAGGGTGATACCCCCCCTTCACGCATACAGAAACACACATGCCACCCTGCCTTAGGGGAAAGGGAAGGAAGCTTTTGTATGCTCGCCTTGGGTTGCTTTCCTTTCGCCCTGCTCTGTGTGCTTCTTTGCCTGAAGTGCCTCCAAACATAATTGTCTCTTCTTGCCTTTTCTCCTTTGGGGCTCCCTCTTGCAATCCCTGCTCGAGGCTACATAGGAACCACAGGAGAATTGGAAAGGTGGGCGATGGTCATACAAATGGATGAGTGCGTGGGAATAGGGAGTGAGTGGGGATGGGCCCAAAGAACAAGTGGCTTGCTTAGCTGCCTTCCCAGTCCCCATGGCCAGCTTGCGAAGGCAGGCAAGAGCGCAGGCGAGCAAGTAGGCAGGGCCAACCAGGAGCGATTTTTATCAGCTCAGCAAACCAATCCAAATTGTTCCTACTGCCTTGCCTGAGTTGAGCCAAGGTGGTTAAATTTCACCCCTGGCTAATTTATATTATTATGTAAAAATACAAAGTTCAGGTTAGATGTTAATGCCTTATTTTACTGCACCAAAGGAGTCGGAAATCAATGCCTTTTTTTTCTTTCCCCCCTTGCTTTCCCCCCTCTATTCACTTCCCCTTTCCCTTCTCTAATTTCCCTACTATTTACTTTTGTATTCTCTTTATATGTCATATTATAAAAATAGAATGTTTAAGAAGTTTCATATTAAGTACCCTCAATGGGCCCAATAAGGAATGTAGCAGTAGTTCAGTTGTAAGTAATAATGTGTATGTATGTTTATTGTTGTTTCAGGTCTACCCTTCTTATGGGGGGTTGGTATGTTAAGACTGACTCAAACATTCACCTATATTGTACTTCCCTCACAACTTGACAAAGGAAAGGGGGTGCTGAATTTGAATGCAAGGGTGGGGGGAATGCCATCCAAACATCATCGTTCCCATGACATTGCTCTACCCCCTCAAGGACACCCAGAGCTGGTTCACATAACAAAATAAACAGAAGTGATTGGTAGTCATAATGAACTGTAGGTGGCCCATGGGGAAAGGGGAATGAAATATGGTGCTTTTGCACAGGAAGCTAGAGCTGGTTTCACTTCTTCTGTGCCAATGTGGATTTATTCAGTAAAGTTTATACTCTTGGTAAAAAAAAATATACCAGGTAAAAGGAGAGGAGAATTTACTGCTTTTTGTTTTCATTCAGCACCCAGCCAGCATGGATCCTACATGTTAAATGTTAAATTCAATAGCCAGATTCAATATAGGAGAAAAGAACTTTGTATCATGTTTAACTTATAAAACATGGAACAAAAACACTAAGAATCTAATCTAAGTAGCAAAAAATCCCAAAGTACTTTAAGCTGGAGAAACTAAAATCATAATACAATCATATATGCATTACTTAAGTTAAATGACTATGTGTACCTAAACTTGGAAAAAGGATTTCAAGAAAAAAACATACCTTGAAAAAACCATGAGCGCTATTCCTTTGTCCCAACCAAAATGTAGTGCCAACTGGTAAATCCATATATGGTTTTTCCACCACTCTCTCATATATTCTGATTTTAAAAAAGAAAGTAAAAGTAAAATACTTTTTAGAAGAAGTCCCTTTCTTTCAATTGATACAAGTTACTGGTACAAATTGTACCAAATTGCAACTTACTTATTGCAGTCTACATGTAAAATCAAATGTGATGCACTGATTGCTAAGGACAGCCTGTGCCACTTGTCATCTGCCAAAATGTAAGGAAATATTTCTGTGTGTGAACGCTGGGTTTCTGAACGATAGTGCAATCTAATTTCATTTCTATGGCCGCTGCTTTCTAGTTCCAAGTACCTGCATCAGAAATGCACCAGAAAGGAATCAAGCAATTTAACACCAAATAAATATACTTCTTTGCATACAAACTAAAAATGAACACTTATTCATAAAAAGCAAATGCTGCATAGTTAGATTTTTCTCCTAAATTGTTTCAGTACAGCAAAGAATAAATCAAATTTAAAATTACATCAAAAATTAAACATATGCAGGTAATCCTCGACTTGCGATCACAATTGAGCCCAAAATTTCTGTTGTTAAATGAGATATTTGTTAAGTTAATTTTCCCTCATTTCTTGCCATTCTTGTTAAGTGAATCAGTGCAGTTGGTACACTAGTAACCTGGTTAAGTGAATCTGATTTCCTCATTGACTTTGCTGGTCAGGAGGTCACAAAAGGTGATCACATGAGCAACGATCACAAACATTAGCCAAGCATTTGAATTTTGATCACATGATCATGGGGTTGCTGCAAAGGTTGTAACTTTGAAAAACAGTCATGTCACACTTTTCAGTGCTGTTGTCACTAAATAAATCTTTCTCAAATGTCCTCAGGTCGTCTTCTTTAGCTTTCTACTTTTTCTGTAGGTAGACGTCTACAATTTTGGGGAATGGTCATTCTTTCAAAAGTAAAAGCCCTGTTTTACCTATTCTCACAGTCCTCAATAAATGTATTAGAAATAAATCTAATTTGCTTCAATACAATTTGATATGCATAGGATCACTGCCCAAGTTAGCGTCCAACATATTTTTATGATTTATTTTAGGCTTGTTCTAAGTTGGGAACATTAGACTTCTTGGAGTTCAGCTCTACTAGGCATTATCCTAGCCAAACATATTTTTTTGCCTTTACTTTATTCCAAAAGTATTTTTTCAATGCTTAATCCTGCTTCGTTTTTCCAAGGTAGCCCTTGTTAAGTATGAAATAGGTTTGATCCTATTTTTTAATGTCAGTTTGAATATACCATAAATAAATATATGTCAAGAAATGTATATTTGTCTGCATACCTGTGATCTAAATGATGAACAGAAAAAATAACACCTGAATTTAAGAGTGTTTGTTTGAGAGATACCAACATGGTAAATTCATTTTTGTTTCTCAGTTTCTGGAAAAAAAGTTCAGCTTTCTCTGGAGATACTTTTATATTTCTTGCAGTTCCTGAAATAAAGCACACACACACACACACAAAATCTAATTCATAAGCAAATTAGGCACAGAACCATCTTTACATTTCATTATGATAAAAAAATTGATTAGTTAAATACAAAAAACTTTCATTATTCATAAAAACTATTCATAAAAAATATTTCATTATGTATTTCAGTGTGGAATCAAAGTATTCATCCTCATCACTGAAATGCTATTTTTTAAAATTATGTTTAAAACATTTATATATATATATATATTTACATATCAATGTTGTTTTCAATTCTGAGCATAAAAATGATTCCATTTATTAGAACCATGTCTTTCTAGAAATTTACACCAAATTTTCACCAAGAAGGGAAAATTAAATTTTAATTCAGTTTAGGATCTTTAAACTGTTTGTTTTTGTAACAATGTTGTATTAATTTTTAAATTACATTTAATTTCCTTAGTATTTTGGTTCGCTAATTCCTTATTTTGTTACATAATATCAGTGTGAATAAATTATGGAGCAATTCAAATGCAATCACTTCAGTGTTCATTCTTTTACCAATCATAAACTAAAATTATATAAAGTATTACACATTTGCATTCTGTAAAATGTACACCAAAGTCTAAAAATATAAACAGTTTGTTCACCAAAGTTGGCAAAGGACAAAGGAAAAATACTCAGGAAATCATGTATCTTACCCAAAGGCTAAAACACACTGCAGCTGTTTACAAAATACTGTGGCAATAACTCTTTGCAAGGAAAAGACAATTAAATTCACAATTCTAAGTGTAATATGCTCAGTGATAAAAATTGGGATGTAGAAGTATATATGTGTGTCTATGTGTGTGTTTGTGTGTGTGTGTGTGTATGTGTGTATACACACACAGAGACATATGTGTGTGTGTATGTATGTATGTATGTATGTATGTATGTATGTATGTATGTATGTATGTATGTATGTATATAACCATTATGAAGTAACTTTAAAAAGATGTTTGAATAATTCTGGTTATTACTCTGAGCACACAGGGAGATCTCCAACTGCCTATGTGTCCTTTTTAAGTAATATAGCTTCAAAGAAACTTTAGATTATCCTTTTGTCTCTATTAAAAAGTTTAAACAGCCATGATCACTCATGAGAATATCCACGGTTAAGTACAAGTAAGAGTTTTGTAAAAAAAATTTAGTTCTCTGGGACTAACAGCATCTCTAAGGAAAAGTGGTAACTGGCATTGTAATGGAAATCCTGTCTCTTTGTGGGTACGTATGATATTCGACTGTTGCATCATCCATCTTGCCTGTTTTGGGAATGCATTTAGACACACACACACACACACACACACACAAACACACACACACACACACTATTGTCCAGAGATGTTCAGCTAATAGGATAAGGAAAATGGAAATTGAAAATTGAAAATAAATACAAAAGATGGGACGAAATAACAGACTACTTTATTGACCATTCGAAGTTACAGCAGTGCTGAATGACGGGAGTCACAATTGTTCCTTATAGCTGTAGCTGTGGCACTAAGCCTATACTCACAGCACTGCAGATTGTCAACCAACAAAGTTATAACACCCTGCAGACATGGGATCACCATTTGTGACCAACACTACCGGCTTCTGAAAAGCAAAGTCAATGAGAAAGCTACCATATGTTTGCAAATGGCAAACAAGTGGGCATGCGACTGCATGGGATTCATCTAACAATGGCAACAGACTGCAGGAACTATTGTCATCAGTCAGTGTGGTCACATTTTCACAATGCATTGCTTAGTGATTGAGTTGCTGGTTCTAATTACCATCATTAATGCTGGAGGGCTACCTGTGCTTGTTATATTTAGCCTATACAGATTTATTCATTAAGTAAATCCAGTTTAGCTCTGTAACTGAATAAAAAAAGTTCACGATTTTTTCCCCAGATTCTACATTTGAGAAATTACCACTTGTTGAGTTTTGGTGTAATATCAAAAGAAGAATATCCATAATTACATGAAAATATGTCCAAGGAAGCTTTTTATGTTCCTAATGGACTGACATTGTGGGCTGATTCTATGGATTTGGACTAGTGAACACTGGGGTTTAGGTGGCCTTTTGGATTATAAATATAAAATTGATAGAAGATAAAGAAACAACTGTAGACTCCAAGTAAGCTCTTCACTGACTTTGTGGACTGACCCTGATGGATTACAAACATAATGGATTGTGAGGGAATGGTCGGTGACATAACGCCCCCTCCCCGCTTCATCCATTGTCCTGTTGGCCTGCCCATCCTTTCCTCCCATCCTTTCCTCCTTCTCCTCCAGTTCTTCCAGCTTCATCCTGTTTCCAGTGGCAGCAACTGTTGCTTCCATGAGTAAAAGACATCCCTGCGGACTTCTCTTCCAAGTCCTCCTTCCTTCTGATGGCCAGGGACCACCTGGATCTCGGCAGGTCACTGCAGCCCGCCTCATTTCTCATCCACTCAGAGAGATCCAGCTCGGGAAGAGGCCTACATGAAGGCTCCCCTCAGCATTCAATTTCCTCCTGGTTGCTCTCTTGAGCCGACATTTTGTGCATGATCCCCATGGTAGAGGTGACAACTGGGTTGTCTACATTGCAGATTCCGCTTCATGTCAGACCTGCTGCAGTCTGATTTCCTAGGGAATAAAACTCTCGACTCCATTTGGTTGAAGTGAACATCTACTTTTACTAAAAGATGCTGATTGCAGTAAAGTCAAGCAGAATCTGAAATTCCCATGCACCAATACAGAACTAAACCCCTGGTTTTCCCTTGCCCTTCCCCCATGATGTGTCTATGGGTAGCTAATCCGGCACCACTGAAATGTTTTGGGAAATGCTGAGGGCTGCTGAAATTCCACTCTCAGGACACAGTCTTGAAGATGCACCAGCACAAACTGGATTCTAAAGCACTCTGTTTTCCCTCATAAAGGAATTCAGCTTTATTGCCCATTTATTCCACCCACCTTTCTCTGATTGATGGCAGAACATCAGCAAGGCACCAAGCCAAAGATGGTGAATCTGACACTGAGATACACGCTCCACACAATTCAGTATGTGCATGCAACAGTGGCAAGACTTTTAGACAAGTAACCTTCAATTTTCTCTTTTTCTTGGCAGCATGGAGTTCATTTTTCCTTCTTTCTTAGGAATAGGGAGAATTGGCCAAATTGATTATGCATTCCAAATACACATTTTAATACATGGGGTAGTGAAGCTTTGCTATGACAGGAGACTAATCAGGCATATTTGAATATTTAAGATTATCCATTTTTAACTTGGAAGATTTGATTCCTCTCATATCCCAGCAAATGTCAAAGCCTACCATATGTGTCTTCTTATCATACCTAATTTGCTAAACCTTTAGCCATGAAACCTGTAGTCATACGAGCATGTAGTCCCATAGGAATGATGGGACATTGTTTCCTTGGATTTTATTACTAAACTGTCACTTGTTTTCAAGAGTTTAGCTGCTATACTAGTTAATGTGAACCTTTTAACAAAGGTGGATCATTTTGTTTTCTGTAACAGACTTCTCTGTGTGCAGTAGAGAATGCTTGTTTACTCATCTGCTATATTTTTTGGTAGTAAGATGTCCCCAATCACCTTCTGTAATAGCATTCAATTTATGGCTTGTTTTGGAAATGTATTCCTTCCCCCAATATTTAGATTTTAAAAAAAACAATTTTATTTGTTTTTAACAAAGACAAACAAACATAAAGATAAAAAACCATCTTCCATTACAAATTGTAGGAAGTGTGTCAGTTGGTTACAGTATTTCCATGCATCTCTTCCATATTCATCACCTGCTTTTCATATCAAATTGCATATTTTAAATTCACCTATATTCATGTATATCACAATTATATCTCAATCTTAATTTGACTATAATTGTTTTTACATCCTTTTATATATAATATTCAAAATCTAGAATAGGATTATATGATATCATTCTATTAAATCATCCTAAAATCAACCATTCACAAA